ATAAAATTTGATTTGATATTATTTTTTATTCGGATAAATATTTAATTTAATTTGTTATATTATTAAAAAAATATAAAAAAATATCATGTCATCAAAAGATATCTTTTTTTATTAGTGAGGTGGGACCTATTCCACACGGTAATATGAAATGTTAAAATGTTTGTCCATATCATCACTTTGCTCTCCACATCATCAAAAAAAATATAAAAAATGCCACATAAGCAGAGTTAACGATTCAAATTAACAGAAGGACTAACGGAGTGCATTTCTTGTAGTTGAAGGATCAAAAAAGTGCAAAAAATTGTTGAGGGTTCAAAAATATGCATTTTTTAAAGATGAGGGATCAAATTTAACATTTAACCTAACTTCAATTCCACTTTTCTTTAGCACGTGAATCGTGATGAAAACGAATGTAGTTGTTTTCTTCCCTCCGTCTGAGCTAAATTGGTTTCTTTGGTCCTTAATTTTTCACTCAAAGTATAAATTGGTCCTCGACCTTCACTTTGTTAATTTTACGGTTCTAGACATTCTTCTAGTAGTCATTAAGATTTCAAAGTTAGTGCAATTAGTGTTGTAATGAGTTAAATTCCCGAACTCGAGTTGGATGCAACTTTATTTGAAATCAACTTTGAGTTAAAACTCACTATGAAAAATTAAATAGAGTTAAATACGAATTGTAATTTTAAATTTGGCTTGATTCAATTATATTAAAAATTAAATACATATGCAACATTAAAAATTTTAATTTTAATTTAATTTAAATCCTATATTAAACTTGAGTACTAAATAAAATGAGTATTAAATAAAACTTATGAATCAAGTTCAAATTTAAATTATTCAAATTCAGTTGACTTATTATTTTATGTTAGATTAGCTCAAATTTAAATTTTAAAGAACTTGATTTTATTTATTTTACAACTCTAATCGTAATATCTATGTGCTTAAAAATTTTGATTTAATTAAGTTTATAGACTATAAATTACTCACAAAGCCAACATATGTCTTAATCTTCAGTGTAAGTTAATGATACATGAAAAAATTAGTATAATATCTATATAATAGATTCCATCCCTGAATGATTTTACCAGTAGGGTAGCTCCAATTATGATTCTGAGGAATCAATTTCAACCAAAGCCCGACCGGTGAACACAAAAGGCGGTGCGTAGATCTCGCAAACAGGTGGGTTAGGTTGGGTTAGAATAAGATTAGAACGGATCACGGGGTAAAATAGGTTGGGTTAAAATGAGCAATGGGTCTATAAAAGTTGATCTTACTTCCTCCATCATGGGGCACAAGTTAACCCGTGGGTTGTTCAAATTAAATTTTTTTTTATAATTTATATTATTATTATTTAAAGAAAATTATTTAAAAAATTAAAAAATAAAATTTAACATTTTATAAAAAGAATTTTTTTCATTAATTTAATAAAACATATTTACAGTTATTCAAAATCACCTTCTCCATTTCTCTTCATAAAAACAGCACATAAAATTCGAGAACACTGCATACTTATAAATCTCAATAGTAAAAAAAGAAAAAAAAAACATTAATAGCATGACAACGAAAAAACACAAATCTCATTGGAACTTGAAAGATATTTGTTCTGTTCATTGCTTTTAAAGAATCAATCAATTAAATGCATCTAAGTAAGCAGAGAAAAAGATCAAATAGAATTTTTACTTAAAATGAAAAGAAAACTAAAATGTATAAATAAGTAAATAACTTATCTTGAAGGTTTTAGAGAGAAAAGTTAGTGACAAAGAGAGTACTTGTCGGATTCAAAGGAGAAAAAAAAAATTGAGTTGACGCAACAATAACTTAGTTAGATTAAGATCTAAATTTGAGGAAATATTAAAGACTAAAAAAAAATATGAAATCGAAGATTGAAAATCGAAAGCTATATGAACTATGGAGGTTGAAAAATATAAAAAGAGTTAGAGTTTTGAAGAGTCAAAATCTTAGAGAGTATTACGACAAGCAAGAATAAAAAAGATCGAGAGATGAGTCATGAATGAAGTGCAATTATTTTCACTTTTAGAAGATAATGAGTTAAAAGAATCAATTAGTTAATTAAAAAAATTCGTCAATTATTAAAAATTTAAGTGAGATTGAAAATTATAAAATAAAATAAATAAATAATAAATTAAAAATTTTTAAATTTTTAGATGGATTAACGGATTAAATCTGTTAACTTAGTGGATCAATTCATTATTGGCCGTGATTCATCAAATTCATTTAATGAGTTATTAATTAGTCACGAATAATAAATATTTAATTCTAACTCATTTTAAATTGATGGATAATGAACGAGTTGACAGATTAAGTGAAAAATTGTCAAGTGTACTAAAATATTGTCAGGTCTAGCAGTGCGAAAGATTTTGTAACAAAAAAAACGAAAGCAAAAG